TGGGATGGATGCCCTTTGCTTTTCTTTAGCCAGGCATTTATGTGTTTGCATGTGACATGAAAGCAGCATGGCCTGGGTAACCTACTTGATGGGTATTAAGACTAGTAATTTGCAAGTTTTCACTGTTGCAAATATGAGTAGACTATGACATCATGCCTGCCGTTAAAGGACCAACAGTCTAATGGGAAACAATTTTGGAATGGGGTTAAACAGTGTATAGCACGCTCCCAAATTCCTTATAAGCAAGACCCTTCCTCTATCTTTTCCTACTCCTTTATAAAAGGCAGATAGAATGATATAAGGTATGCTTATTAATTATCTAGAAGACCAAAGCTGGGAATAAGAAATGGAAGCTAATATATGGAGTGATAGGAATAGTACTGTCGGTAACTGAGAACTCGGTGCTGAAACTAGCAAATGGAAATTAATAGGAATACACAGAAAGTCCTGTCTTTAGTCTAAAAAATTCAGCAGCATATAAGGACAGGATGAGAGTGAGCTGTAGTCTTCAAATTCAAAAAAAAATTCCCCAGACTTTTCTCATGAACCTAAACCTGCGCTTGATATCCTAAATCCTTGCTGAGCACCAGGCATCAGGTGGGCCCTGTGGGATCTCACCATCTGATGTAGCTGCAGATGCAAACACATAGGCCAGTACAGCTCAAGAGAGAAAGCATTCCATGGACAAGACCTCATTGGGAGTAGACACAACACTCTAACAGGTCATATGTGATAAAATAGCCTATAGAAGAAGGAGACCAGATTGGTGAGTGACCAGGAAACCAGCGTGTAGAGAAATATTGAGTGACTGCAGGATGTTTAGTCTAGAGAAGAAAAGATTATGAGACTTTGATAGCTGTTTTCCAGCGTTTATAGAGCTATTGTGTGACTACCAGAGAAACCTTAAGACTTTTTGGGTTATTTCAGTTCAACCAATGGGGTGAAAGTTAGGCAGGAGCAGATTCATTTTGATGTCTTCAAAAGTTTTCCTGCCAACTTTGAGAAAGGCTTCCTCTAAAAGGCATTCCGGCAGAAACTAGCTGACCATCTGCCTTGTAGACTGCTCCCTTCGGGAAAGGTGTTTGGAATGAATGATCTCTGATGCCAGTTCTTTAATTTTTACTTTCCAAGTCAAGTGGGAAGTAATATAATTTTTCATCTACCTTCCTTAAGCCTCAGACTGGCAAGAACTTTGCTAGCCTACAATTCATGAGTTTATTTCCCCTTCTTCCCCACCTTTGTTGGCTGTAACAACCTTGACTTAGTAATAGAATATAGAAAATATACTCCAATCATTAAAATACATTGCTAACTCACTTGGGGTAGAATGGCTGTGAAACCTATGCTGTGTTCATTCGCCAGTGAAGAGTAAAGACCAGTGCTCATCAGAACTGACAAGAAGGGGAAATTCTTGCCTCAAAGTGAGGTAAACGGTGAGAGAAGTCCACAGACCAGAGTGCATGAGATGGAGCACATAGAAGGCTCCAGGTCAGGGGGTGGACTCGTGCTTCCCTGAGCTGCATGAGTGCTGGGGGAAGGCAGGCACCCCGCAGCTCCCTGGAGCTGCCCTAATATGTATTGTGGCTGTATGTCCCCAGCATCACGGTCAGGCCGGCATCTGCCAGACACCCATTATGTTTTTAGGTGTGCCCAGATATTATCATCCAGCCAAGAAGAGGAAGAGTTACCACATGCATTTGCTGACCATTTCTACTGGCAGCTGATGACCATGGAACCCTATGGCCTGAAAGTTGCCTTCAGTGTAACAAAACATAGAGTTCTAGGGAGAAGACTAACAAAATACTTGGGCCAATAATTTGCTGTCACTGAAGACTGTCTACTTACCTCTGTTTCTTGCCAAATAACTTCACTTTGGCATCATGTCAGCCTGCTTAGTTTAGTTAAGAAGAGTGAAGTCTAACTAACCTAACATCACTGTTTAGTTTAGAAGAGTGAAGTCTTAATATGTTGTTATGCTTATGTTTATAGAGGATGACAAGTGAACAGAGACATAGTCCCGTCTTAGTTATTACCATTAACCAGAAGTCATGTTACAGTGAGGCAATATATCTTATTTTTAGGTTGAGGTGCTTATTTGGCCTAAAAATAATTATTTTGAATGGTAACAACAGCCACTAGGAGGAACTGGCTAAAACATAATTTCAAATAGCTACTAAGAGTGTTGCTGTTATTCAGTAAGAAGGAACAATAAGTAACATTTATGCTACTAGTGGTAGCTTTGCCAAGTTAAAGAACCATTACTATAAAGAGCAAGATATGATATAGCTATTTCATATAAAAGTATAATGAGAAGTATGATTATTTGTCCTGAAGCAATTGCTTTCTACAATCCAATAGCAAAAGGGATGCTGAGTAGCTTGCAATGATAATGATGATAACAAAGGGGAAAAAAGCAAAAGCCAATTCCCTTTTCCCAATTCATTGAAGGGCGCACACACACTATTGTGTGCAGACACCCAACATGCTCCACCCAAAGGTTAAGATTGTTTCCACCTGACATACTCAAATAGACCATTCCAAGGTCATTGCTCTCTTTTCTTGAAAGAGCAACAGTGCTCAGTTGAGTTGTTTGATAAACCTACTACAGTCAATTTTAATCCAAGAGCATAAACCATTGTAACTTGAGATGAAGGATGAGGCACCCAAGAAGCAGTACTAACACTGCAGATACATGAATTCATGTGACTTCACAACAATTCTGTGAAATAGGTACAGTTATTCTACTTCAACAGAAGCACTGAAATTGAGGCACAAAGGGTTGTAAGGAACTCATCCAAGATCACACTGCTAAGAATTGGCATGGGAGATATTTGAACTCAGACAGCCTGGATGTTTCCAAAATCCAAGTACTTAACTATCGTCCTGCCTCCCCAGCAGTGGTATGTAAGTCAAATCGATCAAGTGCCTCATGAGTGCCAGGCACTGTGTTAATCCCGTGATCTACATTAGCTTATTGAGTTCATCAGTTGGGTCATTTGGACACAGGTGAGAGAGATAATAAAAGAATCACCAGGTCAAATGTTCTGTGTGTCTTTGGCATAATACCCTACCTTACCTGTGGTCTCTGTGTTACTTAAATTGCAGGGCATTAGCAAAAAGAAGTTATTGTATTATCTCGTCCTTGCAGGGGTGGAATGGTCCAAACCAGTGAGCAGTATGAATTTGTGCATCATGCTCTGTGCCTGTATGAGAATAGACTTTCAGCAGAAACTGTCCAGTGATTGTCTGAAGATTTACCAGACCACCAATCTCTAGGGGTGATTAGTCAATCACCCACTTGAGGCTTCTGGAAAGAGCTTCCTGCAATGGAAGGAAGGAGAAGCCTTTCAGCCAAACTGTGGCAGAGACTGCAGAGGACAGCAACCTGTTAAAGACTGCCAGTCCCTTGTGTATGTGAATGCGTTTGTAAGCATCCCCTAAATTATTCTGAAGGTCCTCTGCTGGAGGTATGATAGATTCCTCACACAGCTAAGGGGGGTTTTGTTTTGTTTGTATTGACTATCTGCCACACAGAATGTATGGATGAAATACTCAAGTGATGTATGTCATCGGACATCGGAAGGAGCCGCTGAAGAAATTATTATCATGTGTTTCGATGCTTTAATGTTTGCAAAATCTGTCTTGTGAATGGGCTGTCAGCTGTTAAACTGTTCCTGTTCTAAGTGCTATTGCCTTTCGCAGTTACCAGAATCTTGCCACTCAAGTTGCAAGTGACTGATAATGGATTTTTAACAAATAAGTTCTTGTTTTTGAAAAAAAAAAGTCAAAAGCAGTAACTGTTTTATATGGAAATGTGTCTTGATAATATTACCTATGAAATGTGCATTTATCAGTACCTCGTATCAATCAGTTACAGAGCACAATGATTGTCATTGGGTCTATATGTATTTACTCTCTATTATTGGGCATAGAGGTGGTTTCTGCCCCAGAACTCTACCCACTGTATTTCTACATTGTGAGTCATTTTACTTTAAAAGGAAAAAACAAATTTGTAGCAATGATATATCAAGAATTTTAATGTATCAAGAATTTAATACATCAAGAATATGATGTATCAAGAATTTTAAATACTTGTCTCTCTTTTACTAAGAAGGAATTTTTGAATATGCTGTCTACCTGGAATCTCTCTCCCAATAAAAGGCAAATGCCTTTGGGAATGACATGACCTGTCCCATTCCCAGGTGTTCTTCAAAAGGATGCTGTCATGGATACCCTTACATTTCTGAAAGGTTTTAATCCTTAAGAGACAAAAGTTAAAAAAAACTACACTCAGCAAACACCAGATGTTATGCTCAAATATGAATTTTTAACACAGCTGTGTTGACTTTGTTTCATACTGCCAATAAACCACTTAATACTAAATATTATAAAGCTTCTACTTTTTTTCTGTTTGGAGACAGGCTGTTATCTTCCAGGGGAACTGGGAGTAGGTAACATGGTGGGTTTAGTTTTAGTCTCTGCCTCTCCCCAGTGGAGATACTGATCTCAAACCATAAAACTGTCATCACCTGAGGGATAATGATCCAGAAGTGCCACCATTATGGGGGTTTCCTCGATATCCCAGCATATCATTATACAAACAGTACATATTTATGTCATCATATCACTTGTCAAAGACCCTCATAAATGACATGACTTATGTTCATTCAGCAGAATCACATCACTTGAAGAGATGTAATGATTTAGGAGCATTCAATTATCTAAGATTGTAATTCCTTTTCTCCCCCTGGAGTTTCAGAAGCAGTCATGTGCCGAAGGGATGTAAGAGAAACTTACTGGGTTTTATTCTGCTCCTGGAGGCTGGAATATTTTCTACATAAAAAATGGAGAGGTAACCACAATCCCTTCTTTCTAAGGAAGCAGACAAAGGACACTGGTGTAAAACTTCCCCAAACAATTCAATAGGAGGAAGTACTCGTCACTGACATTTCCCCCCATGGTGAAGGCACATTTCCTTCCTAGTCTTTGCTTCTCTTATCTGGGAGAATTTTTTTTCCCCCAGGCGAAGCATGAGAAGTTGCTAAGTGAAAATGGAGGCTGAATTTTACATGGCGATTCTTACCTGCTTGATCTTTGGGAGCTCAGGTAAGTGGGCTTGCCTCACTTTCCTGAGGTATTTCTCCTACAGCCAACAGAGCAGCCTCTGTCCTTTGAAACGTGTCTGGAATAAGGTGGAAATGGAGCCAAGTCTCCAAGGCAGTTTAACCAAAGACATGAGGAGGGGCACTGAAAGGAGCCAGCTGTGCCACACCACTGAGATTTCTCTCCAAAAGAAAACAAATGGCCTCCTCATGTCGTCCAAATGCCTTGGGCAGCTCCCGAAATGGTGTCTTCATAGCAGAGAGTAAAGCATTGTGAGGAGAAATATTTATTATTATATAATAGCCGGTGACATTCTCCATTATCAGGAGAGTAATTATCTTTTTCTCATTTCTTCTCATCTTTTTCATTCAGATTATAGTTTTGTTTCATGTTAAAGAAAGAAAACATAAGAAATATAATTAAAGAGGGTGAAAAATTGTGATGTGTATTATTTGGAAGTTATTTGGAAAGAAGGTCTGAATATTTTCATGGGAAAACTGGGTAAATTAAGTACAAGCACAGAAAGTGGTTTCTGAGCCTGAATATCTCACTGTTTAATACTAATATTTAACAATTGGGTGTTAAATTTTCTTACATTGTGCAATGCTTATTTCTTTAATCTCCTAGTATTTAAGCCAAAAACTATAGACATTGTCACAAAATAGAAAAATGCTTCTCTCCAGCACTATAGGAAATTTAGTTTGTGATTATCAATACTTTGGCTACTGTGAGCTAGAAAGATATGCTGAGAGGGGTGGGAAATTTTGTTGTATTCTTGGATAAAGAGATCAAATTTTTAAATTCTTATTCAAACTATGCACTTTGTATACAAATACCTATAACAATGGTAATTTAAGGATTGGAAAAGAATGAAAGAGTACCAGAAAAGAGTAAAATGTTCACAAAAGGAACTGAGCTTTTCATAACTTCAACATGTTTAACTAATTGGGCTAAGATATCACACCATATTCTTTGGATGGTTCTCTTTCTCTTCCAAGCTTCCTTTCATTATTTCAGTGGGGGTGTGTTTTCTTCCCTAAACCGTATGAAACTGAAAGAAAAGAGCTAAGTGACATTTTGACATTCTTACCATGTCTGGCTTGGGGTTTTAAACCACTCGTGTTGAAGCTGGGAATATTTACTTGAAGTGATAGCTGTAGTAAAAGATAAGTAAACCTTGTGTTTTCCTGGGCTGACTGTGGGTGGGTGGGTGTTTTGTGATGGCCTTACAGTTTGCTACATAGGACCTTATGAGCTTTTCATCTTCCAGCGGGGTTTCAGATTGTCCATGTCCAGAAACAACAGTGCCTTTCCAAAAATAAGACAGTGGTCATGGGCTTGTGCAATAGGACCAACCAGAACCAGCAGTGGATGTGGACCGAGAATGGAAAGCTCCTTCATGTTAAGTCTGCACTGTGCCTGGGCATCTCCAGTTCTTCTCGAGGCCCTCTGCTGCCAGCCATCTTTGCCCACTGCTCCCAGGCACCCCGATGGACTTGCCATGAGCAGGGGGGCTTCCTTGAGATGGGAAATACCACTCTCTTTCTCAAGAAACAAAGTTTTAAAGTAGTGGTCAAGAAGGGCAGGAAATACCTCCACAGTTGGATGAAAATAGATGTCAACAAGGAGGGAAAACCAATCAATGAAAGCCTCTGCTTAAAAAAAGGTGAGCTATCCCTTTCAGAATCAGTTCTTAAAGTTCTTCTGCTAAATGTCTTGTTTTTTCACATGCAAGAGAAGTCTACATACTTTACATAATTCCTTTGTAAGATTTATAAGCTAGTGATAATGGATTGTGTGGTGCCCACTGACATGGAAAACTCATTATCCTCCTTAAAATAAGCCCAATTTTTCTTTCTCTCCTTCTCTTCCCTCCCTTCTTTTCTTGCTTTTTTAAAATTATGCAAATATTTCTTAAGTTTCTCTTTTATGCCAGATACTAGGCATTTTGGTTAAGTACTTACTACTAGATGAGGGACTATAGGTCTAGGCACAAACACAGCATACATACACAGTGACAAAAGCCAATATTGAGGAAATTAATGGTCTTGCTGATGTAGACACTTCTATTCTCTGATTACGAGGAACTATTAGAACCTGAAAGTGGTACTCAAGAAGACTGGAAAGATACTAAATTGTGCCTTTGCAAATGTCTTAGGGGTAGCTATCTTTTGGAGATAAAATACTTTTGAAATGGTAAGAGCCAATGTGTAGCCACAGAGTTTTCTGATTTGTTGATCACTGATGGCTGCAGCCTAGATGATAGACACATGTAAAAACATGTATGCACACACACAAATTCCTGGTGTGCACACAGTTCACTCTTGTGTGGAATTTTTATTTGTGGGTACAGTTTAACTTCCTATTTCACTTAATCATTTTATTGCTTATTTACTCCTCTAGTAGAGGTTTGCTTTAGGAAGTTATGAAAAATAAAACCTTTAGAATCATATATTAGGTACAGACTTTATAAACCACTGGAGAAATTACCTAGAAATGAAGATCATCGTTAAGGAGACTGAAATTTGTCAAAGTGAAGTGAATTGTCTCAGATAATCTGAAGGCAGAGGTCTGATTAAAACCCAAGTTTCTTAATTCCTTGTCCAGTGTACATTCCATTATACAGTGTTTCCCAAATGCCTGACCTTTGCCCAATGGCCTACATGAGGATCACCAGGGAGGGGGAGGGGAGGGAATCACTGACTTCATTTCTTCCTGCACTACCACCTCCAAGATTCTGTTGCAAGAAATCTGAATTTGGTCATATACTTGGTGTTTTTTCAAATGTTCCCCAGGTAATTTTGATCCATAAACCCACCTGGGTATCAGCATCCATCGTACTGTTAAACTTTTTTACTAAGTGTTGATTTTGAGGCTTATGTGTCTTTCCACCATGCTAATCCTCAGACAATTTTCTGTCACTTACTCATTTCATAAATTAGATAAGCATTTAATTAGATGCCACTTGAAAGCAGTGGGCTCTTCAGCAATAGAAGTTGAGTATTATAGACCCTGTTCTTACAAAAGTTCTGTAACAGTAAGATAAGAATATAAAAGTCAATTCCAAAATTCAACTTTATCAGAGAAAATACAGCAAGAACACCGATTTGTACAGTTCCTTTCCAGTAGTTCATCTAGGGAAGCCTGTCCTAAACAACACAGAAATATTGTAAATATTCTTGTTGTACATGTTATACACAAGAAGTGAGATTCCTCCTCAACTCCCAATCAAACCTTAAGCAGAATATTCTTTCATTGGAACTTTAAAAAAAAGTAGATATGGATTTAGTGGAGAGTTATTCAAGATAGAATGTAATTCATGGAAAAACTATCTCCTTTACCTTCCTACAAAACATATCCAATGGTGGACTTCATTTCGAAAGGAAAGTGGATGGAATAGACTATTTACAGTTAACCATTAAATGTACCATATCCAAAACATGTCCAATAATGTATATTAGGAAAAAGTGGACTTCTAGAAAAAGAAGAGTTAAAATTTGCAGTGGTACAAAAAAATCTTATTTTTGAATATGCTTTCACTTTAACATACTTTTGTAATACATACTTTTGCTCTAACAGTTGTAAGCTAACATTCAGTCTTATTCTATAAATTCACACAAAGCAGTCATCAATAATGCAATAAGAAAAGAAAAAACCAAACTTTGTTCTATTCAATAGTATTGCGATTTTATATAATCACACATTTAACATTTTTTTAAGGATTATTATTACTTTAGGAAAAATAATGTGTTCTGAAGTCCAAATCTCGAATAAACTCTTGAAATATAACACTCCTCAGTGGAGGGCTTCCTGCATAGGATAAACCTTATAATCTAAAGGGAAAACTATATTGGCCTATGGTTTTGGGGGTACTTGCATGCTTCCAGGGAAGGTCATTTGAAATTCAATTGAAAAAAAACACATCATTTCCCCATGAGCAAGTCTTTCATACATACAGGAGATGCAGAGGGAAAAAAGTTAGAAAAACTAAATTACTATACTAAATCCTATTAAGAAGAGAGATCATGTCTTAGAAGACTTCATCTCCTTTAACGGTAATCTTGGTACCCACACTCAACAAACACTGATAAATTGCTAGACGTTGTTGAATATCAGAGTCGTAAGGAACAATAAAGGAAGGCTAAGAGCCGCTTTGAGGGATGCCGCTCTTGACATCAGGACAGTCCCTTTCCTCTTCTATCCAAACCGAGTATAATTTCTAAACCCACCAAGCCATCAAAAGTTACAGTTGCAACTTTTCCAACAGGAAATAGTCTTGGCCCCACAAGCAGACCACACAGGTTCAGTGGCCCAATTACGGAAGCTTTGTGGACCTATGTGATATGGAAAAGGAGTCATTTCTTGGCCCCCTTTTCTATATGGAAACAGGGAAATTTACTCAAAGGACATCACTGATATGAAAACATATCTGAGTAAATAATCCCAGAGAGGAGGAAAGCGACACATTTTAATGTTGTGAAATGGGCTTCCACGCCAGCACGGATCTTTTGGCAGGCAGACCACGTCCACGTCCACGTAGCTCTGGGTCTTCCCCATGAAGGGCACAGAATTCTATCCACCAATTGGATACTTTTTCCAATGGTTGCCAGGTCTCCCTACACTTACAAACATTTGGATGATTATCTAAGATTGATATTTTCACTCAGATAGTTCCTGTTGTGTGAAGAGTAACATTCCAGGTAAGATGTCAGCTAACCAATCAACATTTATTCAGCATCTACTACAGCTTCCTTCATTCACATCTCAGGGCAGGTAAATTTTTGCAGGCATGTTTTCTAGTGTCCTTAACATGACTGAGCTAATGAGGTCACTTAAAGAGATTTTGCCGTTGAGGTATTGTTGCCAGTCTTGATATAACTGCTGGTTAAAGTAATCTTGTAACTGTAGTAATTTGGGTGAGGGAACAAAATGCATAAGCATTGTAATAAGAAACCAATCATATATACTCTTGAGAGAAGGAGTTTTAGTAGAAATTAATTAGAGATATGTAGGAATTCTTATAAATCCAGATAGCTTGAGGGGAAAAAACAAAACAAAATGAAGTGTCTTGAATACACAGGCCCTATTTTGCCAAATTGGCTATCACAACCATTTTAGGGTTTGTTTTCTCCTTGCATCGTTACATCAACTTGAGCCTTGCAATTGATCATTCATTTATATGATCATTGAAAAATACCCAGCACAGCTTCCAGAGCCCCTCAACCACTTTTAGCCTGTGACATGTTAATGAATTTATCAGGGCACACCCAGAGCCACATATGATTTCCATGATCCCTTAGCCCTGAGGTCTTTGTGGACCCCTTCTTTCATTAATTTTTTTAAGTAAATTTAATAAATTTTCATGGACCCTAAGTTTATTTTTTTCTGATTTGTGGAAAAAAAACAGTTTAATTTTGTTTGATCCTGCAAGTTCAAAATTTTATCTTTTAGAATTTCAAAGATATTAAATCATTTATTTGGCCCTAAAACATCGGGGGCCGCAGCCACTGGGCCTGTGGTGTCTAATGGACGTCAGCCCTGAGCACACCAAGGTAGTCATCTCCTCTCCACCCCACTTCTCGTGACCCTGCCTCAGTAGCGTCAGGCTCAGCATCTCTCCCCCACAGGACTTAGAAGCCATCCTTCCTCCTCCATCAAGCATCTATCCATCCACCAGGTGTATATATGCAAACATAAACATAAATGTATCTCCAAAAGAAAATATGGGGCATTAGGATAAACCAGGATAATACAATTCGTAGCATAGTAGTTGAGTAATAATTATTGAGAAGTATTATTTTGATTAGTCCTTACTTTTTTATTTAAATTTTATACTATGTCATACATTGATTTTTTACTATACTGTGTATTGGTGTCACTTTCCACTTATTAATTTTACTTTATTTTTAACCTTGGATTTTTTTTAAGTTCTGTTAGTATGTTCTTAACATCTGCTTATGACTTCTGATCTGTTTGTCATGTCTCCCATTGTTTGCAAATTCTGCATCTTTGGTATCTCTTTTCACAAATTTCACCTCCTTCACATTCTCAAATGTTAGATAGGCATTTTTTTAATGTGCCTTTTATTTCACTGATAATGTTTTTTAAATCATTATTCTTTTTATCATTTCTAATAATTATTTAGACTATTATAATTCCTATCCTTTCAATTCCTTTAGTCTAGCCCAATCTTAATACATTTAATGTATTATACTTAATATATTTAATGTAATATACTTAATATATTGTTTCATATATATCATTAAATTTTGCTGTATATATGTATATATGCATATATAAACACACACATATGCACATATACATAAGGCATCATTTTTCTAAGGAATCTTCTGTTTCATTTGTTATCTCTTTTCCAGATTACTTTCCCACTTTTAAAAGGCACATTGTTTTTGGCATATTCCTATAGAATAGCAAGTACCAATATAGTTAAAGCTTTCTATCTTCAAAATGAGTTCTGTTCAAATTTTTCTGTTTTCAAAATGTTTGAAAGTTATTTGTACCACTTCAAGGAGGAAAACTAACAAAGTGTGTTCTGTCTTTATTATCATTATACAAAAAATCCATTTCTACTATTGATTATATTTGAGCCAATCACAGACTAATTAATAAGCTGAAATATGTGTTGTTTTTTTTAAAAACATATTCAAAGTAGGGGCTTGATATGGCACAGTCACTGCAAATTATCTTGCACGTTAGCTATTGGCACCTTAAGTGCTTAAACTTTTTAGAAAGTTTAGAAAACCCTGGGTGGTTCACCTTATCTTGAATTGTGTTCGAAGAAGAATTGTGTATAATGGGGAAACAAAGTAGTAGAAATGGTACAATACAGCTTTTTAAAAATAGTTTCAACATATTGTTCCATTGTGTAAGAACTTTTCCATGCATTTGTCAAAACATATCTTGCTCTTTCACGAACTGTAAAATGTATATACCTTCTTAAAGAACATCAGAAAAATTTGCAGCTACCAAAACATCAAAAAATTTAACTATTTTTAGTATAACTTTAGAGCATCCATTTCAACAAAGTTCAGAAGATGGAAAGATGAACTATTTTGATTGCCTTATATATTCCCATAATGGGTTTTCTTTCCTCCCATCTACTTTATACTCCTTCAATATCTACATAAGGAACAATTAGATTCCGTTTGGGCTCATACTGTGTGGACTGATATAACCACAGACTTAGATATACATTAGAATCAGCGGAGACACTTGTTAGGCACGCAGGTGCTGAGTACCACGCTTCATCTGCTAAATCACTATTCCTAGGAAGAGGGCCAAGGCTTCACTATTCCAACAAACTTCAAAGAAAAGTCTGATGCTTTAAAATACACAAAATTTGGAAATGGGATGTTAAGTCTTTCCTTCTTCTAGAATAACACAAGTTAAAAACAGACACAAAATGATGGGGTACTGGACTTCGATATTTTGTAGATTCTTTCTTTGGTAAAAAAGGTAGTGACCTGAAGTGAAAATGGACTTATTGGTTGGCAATGTTTTAAAAATAAACTTAGGAGATTAATTAAAGACCATTACAGAAGACTGAAAACTGTTCCATAACATATTCCAAAGCTACACACAAAGGTAATAAGCTATGTTATTTGCAGAAGAAATTTCAAGAGTGTTTTGATTATTTACCTAATTTAGGAGAGTTCTGTTTCATTTATTGAATTAATTATGTAAGTTGACTTAAAAAAACATTCTTACAATGAGAATTTACCAGCTTCTCCTTCATGAAGATGAATAAGCATAGGTTGACATGCTCAGACAAGTAACTACATGCTAGATATTTGGAAGCTTGTTTTTGTCCTCGTAACCCCATTGTTACTTTTTTTTTTTTGAATCTCTGAAAGCAAAAATTGTCATAGGTGGTAATCAACTCAGAGGATCAGCATTGGCCAAAGCTCAATATAGGCAAAATATTAAACTCCATATACAGAAACTTTTACTTCTCAACCATAGACAAATGCCTACTTAAAAGCACCTAACTCAGTTAAAACTGTAGAGTTAAGACCTCTTCTTGGGGTTTATTGTAAAGGAATACTACAAAGAGTACAGTTGGGTTTGTCATGTGGAAAACACCCAGGGACAAGTAAATCTCCTGGTTGATGTTCAGAGTGGCTAACTTGGGCATAGTGGCAGTAATTTTGACACAGGATTCAGAAGGAAAAAAACAAACAAAAAAGGGGAATGTCCAAAAATCTATTAAAGACTAAAACTTGTAGGTATATGGGTAGGATTGCCAGACAAAATATACAACATCCAGTTACATTTGAATTTGATACATGACAAATAATTTTTTAGCTTAAGTCTATTCCTAATATATAATATAGTAATATATAATATAATCTTTGTAATATTGTATATCTGGGATATACTAAATATACTGATTTATTAATTATTCATCTGAAATTCTAATTTAACTGGGCTTCATGTATTTTTACTTGCCAAATCTGGCAACCTTATGTACAGGGTGCCTTGCCCAACCCTCTACATCTCAAAGAAAAGATGCTTAATAGTCATGAGTATGTTATTAACTTTTAAGAGAACTGCTAATGTTTACATTATGCTAAATTTTACAGAAAACCTTTTCCATTTTGATCATCTTTTTGTGCCTTATCCCACTCTTCTCTACACACATTATCATATGAAATATGTTAGTCAACTGAAATTGAGATGGAAATGAATATGACTCAAGAGGGGTCAATGAGGTGAAGCAGAGCAGGGACAATGTAATGATTACTAGCCTCTTTGGGGGGCCTCCAACTAGCACACAGTAGTTGCTTAATGAGTAGTTGTTTGAATGAACCAGTAAAGTAGTAGTAAAAAATGAATCTTTTTCTTCTTCCAGTCTTTAAACCAGAAACTCTTCAAAGTTATGGTTGTCTAATTGGGCAAGATTTTATAACCCGGAAAACTCTGATGCATTATGGAATTGATGGAAGTATCTAAACATACCTTTCAGACCATAATTTACAGACCTTTCAAATGCTTGACATCATACAGTCGTTCTCTAGGCCTTGTTCACAATGTGTGGGCCAAGGACCATTAGGATCGGCATCACCTGAGAATTTGTTAGGAGTGCTAATTCTAACAATCTTTACTGAATCAGAATTTGCATTTTAGCAAGATCCCCAAGAGATGGAGAGCATGTGATAACTGTATGACTAAATGAATCTCCTCTACAAACCCTTTTTTTTTTAAGTATGGACAATTCAGCCTTGCAAAGTGAAGATATAAATTAATCCCACCAGCTCATAAATTTCAGATCAATTCACTCTTCTTCCAGAAGACAGTGGCTTAGAAAACACAACTCTTCCATGATTTATGCTCACACAATTAGGGTTTGCAGTATGGTAAAAGAAATGTTACTGCAAAGGGTTCATCAGTCTTCATGACAAAGTTAAGGCAAGTTATTAACAGTGATTCTCCACCTGGTGTTTTGTTTAATGACCCCTTTGAGAAGTTGAAGAAAGATAAAGTTCCTCACAGAAGAAGAGGGCACATAAACACATAGTCAGAATTTTACAGGAAGTTTTTAGAGATTCATGGATACCCTGAAGCAAAGTTAGTGACCCCCTAAATGTTCATAGAGTAAATTTAATCTTCCACACAGAGCTGGAATTTTTTTTGGATAGCACACTTTCCTCAACCCTTCACCCTATAAAATTGGTAGATGGGTAAAAAATGGGCAAACCAAACATTTACACTCAAAGTATCTTTGATTTTTCATATAACTAAAGCTTATCCATATGCCTGCTATGAAAGAGATCTTCTTATTCTAAGTAAAATTGCTTCTAATGTGAGCAAGCCATAGAGCCTGAGGATAATTTTAGCAACTGTCCTTTCTTCACCTTAGCTGGCCTGGGAGCAGAAATTTCAGTCAGGAGCGCTAGAAACACGGCTCCTCCTCAAATCCCCACTACTCTTAAGGCAGTTCCATATAGCCTGGAACACATGATTAAGAATACCACAGAGGTCTTCACCAGAAGTACCACAGAAAACTACAGCCAAACCAGCAGCGAGAGGCAGCACCCCAATCTGCAGATGACTGGAATTGCAGAGGCATCTTGGGCTCCCTGGACCACTCCACCTGTCTCCATCACCACCAAAGAGGTAAGGGGAGAAAGGGCTTCGAGTGTGGCTTGTGAAGGTCTCAGAAAGTCCATCACTTGAAAAGACTTGCTTGGCTGGATATACTGCTATTCAAGTAAGTGATAGGTGCTCTGTGTCCTAGCTGCTAATTGTGTATGAATACATTTTGTGCAGTAAGAAAATCTTCGAGAACTAAAAAGTCTCCATCTTTATAAAGTGAAGGTAATTAGACTGCCATGTCATAACTTCACTCCTGTAGGTTGGCCACATTTCTGACCAAAGTCAGGGTTCATAGTCTTACACATAACCTAAAACCAAGAAATAGGAATTGAAACCAGAACTTTGTTGATTCCCCTGCATATGTATCATCATCATGCTCATAAGGGAGGGGAAAGAGAAGCAGAGCAATGGGAGGCTCAGAAATCACTGTAATTGATTTGTGAACCTGGCCACATACCACTTTCCGCTCTGCATCCACAAGAAGATAGATCATCAGAGGGTCGGGTGGCCACGATGTTCTTAGAGTCTGCTCATACAATGGTTCGGTTTCAGGTGCTCATCTCTTCGGTTCTGCTTTCCACTCAGGGTTTTAGGCCACCATTTTAGGCCAAAACAGTGTAATAAAAGCAAATAAAATAAAAAGCTAAGGTTTCATTTCGCAGTGTTTAACTGTACAAGCAACCCAAATAATTTAAAGAAAGTGAAAGTCCAACCCTATGCATATCACTTACCATCCATTTTAGTGTCCTGGTTTCTTTCTCATTGTGCAAAATTTAATACTGCGCAGGGTTCTTGACTAGTGAGCGCATACTTCATTATTGATCACAAAACAAATACAACCAGTACATTGAATAACTAATGGGACTTTATTTATATTCCCACCTTTCCTTTACTATAAATCTTCTCTGCAACCTAGTTCTTCCCTTGCCTCTGAATAGAATTTAGGCAGTCCTCATGACTTTTCTGGGCATTTTTTAAATCACTTTAAAACTCAACACTCAAAACGAAATGGATAACAAAGATACCCATTCAGGAAATAACCCAAACTCTAAGATCAATTTAAATGTTAGCTGCTCCTCTCCTATCACTCCACCCAGTTTGGGGAAGTAGGGAAAGGGAATATATCCAAATTCTTTTACTCCCACTTGCCTTTTTGCTCCCCCTCCCCACAATTTGATCACTATGGTTCGTATCTGGAAAGTTGCAGGGAAAGACAGGAAATGAAATGGAGTGGAGTGAAATGGAACAGAGAGCAGTGGATGGGGCAGAGTGTGGTGGGGTGGAATAGTGAAATGGGATGGGATGCTAGGGAAATGAGTCAGTTGAAGTGGTATGGAAGTGGGTGGAAATTGGTGAGCACTCAGGTAGCAGATGACCCATCTGCTGTCAGTGTCCAGGTGTGCTGGTCATGTTGAGTAGCTGTGCTTTTTTTATTGCCTAGGTGTTTTAAAGTTTGTATGGATCTAGTATTTAATATGTTTCTGTTGTCTTATATACATAGTGTTATCATTCATTCAAGGCTAATTATCCTGTTCCTTTTTCTCCCTTCTTTCTAATTCCCCCAACTTCATCTCTTAGTCACCCTTCAACTTCCCTTATCACCAAGAAAAACTGTAAGATAAGAAAGAGGAAGAGGCATTGATGACTGTTCAATTTACTGGCTTTGGAAAATGTTCATCAACTCAACAAATGTTCTGTAAGGACCTAACTAGTGTCAGAACAGAGTAATTGAGAACTCAGACTTTGAGGTCAAAGCCCTGACTCTGCCTCTTACTAGCTAGTGACCTTGCAAGTTACTTAAACTTTCTAAGCCTCAGTTTTCTCATCTATACAATGGAACCTGTACCTTTGAGGGCTGTTTCAAGAACTGGGAGAGACAGTGCATGTGAAAATGCTTACTGCAGCACTTGGTCCTTACTAAGCATTTCAGATTTAATAACAGTTACTGTGTTTTTCACTGGGACACAAAGATGAATGACAAAATTGTTGCCTTCAAGGATTTCACCATCTGCTGTGGTGTTGACAAAATAGAGATATACCCAGGATTTCTTGGAATACAAAAGCAAGGTTCCTGACTGGTGTGAAGATATCAGGCAATGCCCTCTGGGGAAGAAATACCTGAACTGAGCTTAAAATGTAGGAGTTAATCTAAGAGGTGTGTTGGGGAGAGTTGGGGGGAGGTAGAGGAACTGGAATGGGGCAGGACAAGAGTTAGAAAGTGCTTTTAATTTTTACCTAAAATTAGCCTTTTAAAGAAACTTGGGAATTTTATCCCTTCAGTCATTCCATACTCACTTACTGAGCACCTACTATTTGCCAGACATTTGAAGGATGTGAAAAAATAGGTAAAGATGGTATTATAGAATCACATAGGTAGAACAATGTAGTCAAAATCATTGAGTGTAGGATCAGCACTTTAGTAAGAATATAGAAAAGACTTCGACCATGTAATCTCCCTGTAATTATTCTCCCATGCACAGAAATTGAATATATACTGATGTTCTCAAGCACATGCTTTCAAACATAGTCTTCATCCAGAAACAATCACTAGTTTCTACTTGCTATTTCAATTAGTGACACTACTAAACTATCTGCCATTCCTTTTGTTCTCATACATATGTAGCCACTAGGCAAAATTTAGAACACTTAATGTGAAAAAGAAATCTATAGCAGAAAGAACAAAAGTTGAAATACTAAGGTTTAATATTTGGAAATTCTATGTCATTGCTGCTAATTAACACTTAATGGAGGGCCCCAGTGTTTTAGATCCACAGTCAAAGGATGAACACAGTGGTTGGAACACAGTGCTGGGAGTGGTGGTAGAGATGTCACTTACAGAACATTTCCAAAAAGAAAGTGGCTTGTCTTTGTCTTTCCTTTCCTCAAGAGTCCCTTTGAGAGGAAGGAAACATGAAGAGATGCTGTATGGTATCTGCAGTGAAGAGAATCTAGGAGATGGAAAGAATAGCTAAGATTAGTGTGCCAGGGACTAAGCCCTTTCATGTACTCTGGGAGGTGTGTACTTGCAGCCATTGTCCATCACTGTGTAACACACCACTGTGTCCTTGCGCACGGCCCATTCTAAGTTAGGCCAGGTACAGGTGTCAGAAATGTGTCCTGCATATACCAGTCATTCCTTCTGGGCAAGATGAGACAGGCAGGGCTGGGGGCAGCAGGAAGTCGGTCTTCTGGGGGAATCTGAGCAATGGGGTGCAAGAGGAAGGGTCAAATGTAGAGAAGTGGCCTCCCTATGGAGGGAGGACTTTAAGTCCACTTTACCTTCAAAATATGACCAGCCTCCACTTATTGTTGAGCAATAGACTCTCCAGAGAAGTCCAGTATGGTTCTCCTCTTAGCCACATGACTTTGGTGGAGGTGGTTCAATACAGTGGTAAAGAGTTAGGGCTCTAGTGTCAGGGAAATCTGGTTTAAATCCTAGTGGTGTCATCTACTAGCTACTCAACTCAAGTCATACTTGCTTCCTCTTTAAAATAAAAATAATGAAGGCTACTCTATCTGCCACATAAAGCAGCTGTGAGGATTAAAATCTGATTAAGCAAAGAGTTCAGTAGATTACATGATAAGTATTTGGCAATGTTAGCAATTAATACTAACTACTGGTTTTTGCGTCACTGTTTCTTTCCACCCTGCCTGCTTCATGGGTTTGTTGTAAGAATCCGATGAACTAATATCATATGTGAAAAATTCTATGAGGATAAAATGTTGAACATGCATTAACAATGTTCCTGGCTGGTTCTGATTCTGCTAAATATCCATAAATCTTGTTTGGAGGTACACCTCCTTCTTCCCCACCCCACCCTGCCCCAGCGTTGGCCTGGGAGAGGGATTGCATTTCCTCAGTTCATGAATAGCCATTGTAGTGCAGGTCTGGGTTTAACAGTTCTGTACTTCCTTCCATTTGACCTTCAAAGAGATCACAGTGCAGTGTGAGCCTCCAAGTAAGTAAGGATGCAAATACAGAAAAACCCTGCCTCCCCTCATACTCTCCGGGAATAACCTCCTTTAGTGTGTTATTCAAAGTACACAGGGAGTCTCTGTGCTGCCACCCCTGTCCTGTGGTCAGAACTAAAGATGGGCCCGCAACTCCCCTTTACCGAGGCCAAGGCCCCTGGGGAGAAGTGCAAAGACTGTAGCAAAACAAAGCAGCAGAAACTGCCCTGTAATCATTCCTCACGAACTAGGGCTCTTAGACTGTCTAGCGGGAATAGGACAAAATATAAATGATTCTGAGACTGCTGATAGTTCAGAAAAGGCCATGCTAGGGTATAAGAGATTGTGTGAGGGATATGTATCTGAAGACCTAATTTAGAATTTGCATCATTCAAACCTAATTCTCTTGGTCTGCCAGCTAAAGTGGATTGGCATGTACTAATAGCATAATATGATTTACAATTCACTCGACCCTCTCCACCTTTAATATCTCAGGGACTTTCCTTTCGTTTTCTTTCAGTTATAAGTGATTTGTATTACTTTCCATTTTGTGCACAAAAATACTGTGTTCATATTTTTTCACAATATAAATCATACTCACATAATGCAGCCATGAAACAGAACATGTGCATCAAAGTGGGCTCTTTAACACGCCAGTACTTCTCTGGCACTTCGGTTTCCCAAGGCAGAGGAGGGCTGAGGCAGTGTGGGGAGAGAATGACAAAGGAAAGGGAAAATGAGATCAAAGGAGAAAGGAGGATGTGCTCCTAATTGAGATAGGAAGTCTGTGGGCTCAGCCCCAGCCTTACAAATACCAGAATCACCAGGGTAGCTTTTTTTTTCTGCCTCAGACCTATTGAATCAGAAGTTACTGAGGTTGGACCTCAGCACCAAGAGTATACAATTCTCCCCATTGATTCTAATGTGCAATTGGGTTTGTAAGCCACCAGAGAATAATTGCATAATCAACTTGTTAGAACAAACAGTGAACCCAGGAGAAGAGGGAAGGTATTGCTGGAGATGTATAACCCAAATCTAATCACAAGGGAACATCAGACAAAGCAAACAGA